GGTTTCCGCTTTTATACATGGGACAAACGAAAGATAACCTGGGGTTGTATTTCCCCTCAAATAGACACCTGCTCTCCACCCGGAGCTACGGGTGAAAATACCTGGCTAGTTTGATTCACACGACCCTAAGATCTTGGCAATGATTTGAAAATATGAACAATCTTAACATGGGTCTGAAAACATTATCTAGGCCATTCGTGTGCTCAGTTTCCAAGCCCGACGTTGGAGATCACGGAAACGATGCTTCCCAAGAACTATCTTTGGTAAGACGATGCACATGCGGCGGAGCATATGTTCAGGCCTACTGGGTGGGTCTGACGTGCAGACACCTCCAGGGAGACAAGAAGGCAGTCGGTGTACTGGCTTTTTCAATAAGCAGGAAACTGGCGCTGTCCTACGTCCCTTTGCGGGGCATGAACGCATCCAGATGGGCTCAGCCTGTTAGTAGGCCATTTCAGACTTAAAATCTTGAAAACGTATTCCACCCCAGGCGACTCTACCCCTTTCTCATAAAGGGTTTTAGAGGTGAAATGATTTCCAGTGGGAAAGAGGTCACTGCCCTGCAGGGACGCAGCCTCCTTAGTGACTATGGGTTACCACCAACTCAACTCCATTCCCGAAAAGGCTGATGTCACTCCCGGGAAGGGAGATACAGCTAAAGATGAGATCTGGTATTTTTAGCCACATACCTAGTTGCTGTTGTCCTTTTCTAGATTAAAACAGAGAAAACCAGCTGGATTAAAAGCTCTAATCTTGTGTTTGCTACACAGCAAAGCAAGGTGTGAAACAATCTAGTGATTGATGGTGACCCTTTTTCAACTACAGCATCAAATCAGGTGACGACGGGCTTCCATGCCACAGGTAACCCCCATCTATTTTCACTGGTGGAATGTATACACGCCACCCTTCAGGGAATATATTCAAACCTGGGATTTTTTTTAAATCTATTCCATTAGGCGGGCATTTTTAATTTTAATTTTTAAGATCTTAAATATTTTTCTTAGTCTTCACATGAACCCCATCTTTTCCCAGACTCCCGTATTGTGATTTGAAGGGAAACTACCATTCCGCGTGAAATACTGGCACGCGAGCCATAATAGCACACTCATGTAAAGAAATATATGTTTACGATTTAAAAAGAGAACTAGGGGATCCCTGGGGGGCTCATCCGTTTGGCGCCTGCCTTTGGCCCAGGGCGTGATCCTGGAGTCCTGGGATCGAGTCCCACGTCGGGCTCCCGGCATGGAGCCTGCTTCTCCCTCTGCCTGTGTCTCTACCTCTCCCTTTCTCTCTCTACATCTATCAATAATAAATAAATAAATAAATCTTTTAAAAAAGAGAGAGAACTAGTTCAGCCACTATAATAAAATCATACAGAGACTGCCTTCCATTTACATATTATAAATATAATAATGAAGCTACAATTTACAAATGCCCGCAACACCACCCAAATGAGGGAAAGCACTGAGAGACTGCCCCCAGTGTGTGTGCAGACACACGGAGAGAGGTGTATCAAAGACCCCGAGTTCAAATCTTGAGGAAGAAATCAGAGGAAATGAAGGTAAGTTCAGATGCAAAGAGAATCAGGGCATCCTGAATTTGGCAGTGTTCTGGTGCTTCGGGGAAGGCAAGTGATAGGCAGACACAGTACCGTGGACACAGCAGGCCAAGGGATGATATGATGACCTCACAGAGAAGGTAAAGAGACAGAAGAGCTTCCATCATATCAGTATTTTATTAGCAACAGTCCGGGACACAGTGTTTTGGAAACACTGCCTTTCTTGCTCATACCCCAGATAATGAATTTTCAAGAAGTCTCCTTTCATTTCTGGTCTTTTCTTGCTCTTTTGTCTGTACTCGAGGATCTCTATGGAGAGTGGTGCATTCACCCATTCCACCCCCTGGGCGAAGAGGAATGGGGAACACAAAGATGAGTAAGAGGGCGCACCTACCAAGTCCACACAAACCATCATACAAGAAAAACATGGGAGCCAAGAGAAGGAATTCCAATTTATGGGGAGGAGTGAACCACAATACTAGAAAACTCATACTCTCTGGACTTCTGACCATCAGTTTACTCTGCTCTCCCTCAGCAACTAGGTCTTTAGACAGCAATATACAATTCTGCATTTGCCAGCCCACTGTACCATCTACCTAAGCACCTCCTATATCCGCAGGACGAGACGGCTTGTTGCCATATCGATGATAGGCTCAAGATGTAAAGTTTATGAAATTGGGAGTTAGGGCCCAAATCCATGATTTAATCCTTATTGGATTCATTAGTTCATGAAAATGAGGCATTGAACAGTCTATTGTCCAATGGCTGAAAACAGTTTTGTAAATGAAATTATGAATTTATATATATATTTTTTAAAGATTTGATTTATTCATGAGAAAGAGAGAGAGATGGGCAGAGACACAGGCAGAGGGAGAAGCAGGCTCCATGCAGGGAGCCTGTCGTGGGATTCGATCCTGGGACTCCAGGATCAGGCCCTGGACTGAAGGCAGCGCTAAACTGCTGAGCCACCCAGGCTGCCCTGAATTTATATTTTTGAAGTCACTAGGGAATGACAGAAAAAAGTCACTCTGGTGCTTCAATGAAAAAGAAGGAGACACAAAATACTCATTTCTGTAAGAAAAGAGGATTAATATTTGAATCTGACAGAAAGGTGTCCTCTTACATATTACGTGGTCTTGGTAAACATTTATAAAATGAAAATTATGTCAAAAATTAATTATCTGTCAAAAATACCCCCCTTTCCACTCCTACACCCATTCTTTCCTCAATTCAGGGAAGCAAATTCAATTTCATTCTGGTCTAATGACAACAGATGGCTTTCATATTAAGCAATTCAAGTTATCTGACAGCAAACAGTATCCTACTCAAACATTTCTGTTATCTCCTATTAACTGCAAAACAAAAGACAACCAACATTCAGTGAGGCAAAGAAAAAAAATACTATTCCCTCAGAAAATAAATGTTAATTATCAAACTAAAAGAACTTCTTGGATATAGAATTCTCAAGTTCTGTACTGATTTAAAATGGTTTTGATAGCTATTAAGCTCCAGTATTTTATTTTTGACATGAGTTTTATATACTATTGAAGCTTTCCCTCTCTCTTGCCTGTTCTTCATTTTTAGTCATAGAGTTAATCTTGTTAAATCCCAGATAACCTGATGAACCAAGAAAGAACATTTTCTCTAAATAGGAGACAAAAGTGAGTATTTTTTGAAGTAGGTAAGCACCTGGAAAATGGGAGAACCCATCAGTACAAGGTAGAGCAGCCTAAAATCATCATAGCGATGGTTGTTGCTCTTTAATCATACAATATTGATTTCTTGGGCCAAGGCTTGAAGATAAATGACTGCTAGTCCCTGAAGATAGCAATTGTAGATAGCTATCAGACACATTATGTATTGGAAAAACATACTTTTGGTTTAAAAGTGGTTATTGAGTATTCTAAGCAACACGGCAACAAACGCAAATGTATTTTTGCATATTGTCCAAAATACCAGTACCGATAGCATTTGGATTTTTTCCCCTTTCAATTCCTATGGCTGTCTCCTTCCCATCCAATTCTTAGATGTCCTCTGTCTCCTGGCTTCTATAGCCTCCTATTCCATTCCACTCTTTCTCCAACTTTAATCTGGATGGTCATCCTCTTTTTGGCTTGTAAATCTTCAACAGCTACTCAGTCTAATCAAGAAAAATTGGAATCTCCTTGGCTTGGCATTCAGGGCCTGGAAACTTTGACCCTGGCCTTCCTTTTTAATTGTGTGTCTGCTTCCCTTTGACATGAATCTCCTTTCAACAAAGCAATGCAGCAGCCTTCTTCATCCCTGTTCAGGATGACTTCTCTTCTTCCCTCTTTCTCATGAAACACACGCATAATGTATTCCCACTTGGATGCCTCTGCTCAAAGTGTTCCCCAAGATTCAAGATCTACCTCCAATTACCCCCACAATTTTCTCTCCTTCTCTTAGATCCATATAGGATTTGACATAGGGACCATTATTTGCCACAAAAATCTAGAGAGACATTGAGATCATGTAATCCAATTCATTTTGATCCATACAAGATCATATCTTGTGCTTTTATATAGTTTCCATCTCATGTTTTCTCACATGTCCCATAATAAATAATATAATCTCAGTAAATATTTTGTTAATTTATTCAGTGATACTTTAATAAATGTACCTTCCTCAAATGTATCAAAAACCAGCAGATAATCCTTCTAGTGGAAGCTATAAGCAGATGATCCCTTTGGAAGACAAGTAGGGTATTTGACAGGGTCCCATAAAAATCACAGCAGTATAAAAATACTGTTTTTAACTAATTGGGCAAGCTCAGGAGTGGGATAAGATGTCTGTTTTACATGTTCCTGGGTATTTTTTTTTCAAAAATCTAAGAGCATTATGGTCTATTTATGGTCTTATGCTAAAGGTCATTTTGGGTTTTGCTCTATCAAAATGAGACAGACCCACAACAAAAGATGTTTTGGGTCATGTTTTAAAGTGCCATGTGCTTTCCAGAAGTTGGCCTGATTTCTGTTTTATTTATTTCTGGACATAGATCATTGGTGTGTACAGTATAACACAAAGTGCTTCCAACATGCCTTTTAACAAGTAACATCACATCTGATTATTTTCTCTAAGTCTTACCTAAAGTAACATCAATTGATCAACAACAAAATATAGACCCCTTGCAGCATGAACATGTCAAAACAACTGCTGATTTCATGGACAATATTTTGGAATACATTGCTACGAGGCATCTAAATGTATTAAAAATGTTATCTTTCAAAAGTATTACCACTGTAAATCACTCTAATGTGAATTTAAGTGTCATGCTAATAAATGTTACGAGAAGCTCTATGCTGGAACAAAAACTTAAGACGCAGACAGTATGTTCAATTGAATTACATTTAATTGAAGTGATTTGTATATATTACTATGAACATATTTGACAGATATGAGAAATAAAATGTAAAATTCCTACCTTGTGTCTGTTTCTTGTTCACTGCATTATCAGCTTTATGTCGTTTCTAAAGTTTAAAAGCAGAAACAAAAACTGTGAAAAAGTGGATGAGACTAATAAAACAAAGTAGCACCTACAACAAAAAAGACTTCTTTCAACTTATGTTTCTCAAGGCTTTTATCCTTTTATACCCATATCAATTTTATAGGCATGCTGGGGTGTGGTGATAAGAAAAATCAGAGGGTCTGTGGGAATTTTAAAATTGAAAACACAATCTATAGCATCTTCCTACAGTACTCCTCTTGTGGGAGCACAGCTGTGTGGTCCTCAGAAGGATTGTACATTATTACACAGGTAAGATTAAAATTTTAATGTAATAGAAAAGGCTCATTTAGCTTTTTGCTTAAACAATTCACTTAAAAAAGAAGATTGCCCAAGAGAATTATCTATAATAACTACCATTTAATAGTGGTACTGAGATATTTTCAGCTTCTTGTAAAATTCATTATCTAATTAGGCTGAGTACATCTTCCATAATTTAATGACATGCTGATGTCTGTCAATGAGTAGAACCAAACACATATACCATTTGCATAAAGCCTCTTCCATCCACTGCTTCTCAATGGTCCCTTCTCCCCGTCATAAATCACTAAATCACACAAACCTATTCTCCTTCCTCCCAAAAACGCGAAAAAAAATTAAATACTAAATAGATGAGTTAGCCTAAGTCTGGGTGGGTGAGTTTGAAGAAGTCACATAAGCCAAGGTTTTGGACAGACAGTAAATGAAACGATAGGTCAGAGGAAAGGTGAGAATTTAAGCGGCCAGGGGAAGCTCTCCTGTCTACAGTTCAACTACAGGTTTTCCATGGCTTCTGTCTAAACTTACAGCATCAAGTGTAGCACATCAGCCTCTGTTGATGTTACAAAAAAGTACTGACTGTGTTCAAAAATCCTATCGTTAGAGGTCAAGATCAGATTTAGCTGCATATACCCGACTATAAGGTGGATTGGAATGAATAGAAAAAAAAAAAAGAGTTCCTAATTTTTCCATTTGAGAAAAAATATGGTTTTTAGCATTATATTGCACATATGATAATACCCTCCAGAGTTGTGGATTAGCACTCCTCCAAAACACAGCGACACTCAGGAGGAGTGGCATAGTGGCTGGCAGCGTGAACTCAGTTCATACAAACAATGAGCCACTGAACTGTACAAAATGCAAATAGAGCATTCAGAATGCCTCTGTGGAAGGCTTGTAGAAAATAATTCTTGCCACATCCATATGCAAGAACACGCTACAATTCTTTCTCAGAACAAAACACTCATTAATAAAACTGTAAAAATGTAGACTTTCATCAGGCAAATTACTGCTTCCAAAAGTAAGCTTACGATTTGCCAGCAAATGCTTTTAAATGAATTTTTTAGGTTTAAATTCGGAGCAGCAAGTAGAGAGTATTTTATAATTGATGAGACTCAAAAATACTTCCTCTTTTTTACTGTTAATAAAGATCTTAAGAAAATTAGAAATAACCCCAAATAAATTTTGGTCCAAAATAATGGTCCAAGGCAAATTTAGATATTTGAAGGAGGTACAAATATTTCCAAAACAACACACATCTATGATAGGCCATAGTTAGACTTCCAACTGAAGGAGACAAATAAAAGCTAATTAATGAAACATTCCTCTTAAACAGGAAATTTAATCTTAGTGAAACCTAAGGAGATCCTGAACATTACTTTCCATCTACAGAGAATTGTTGTGCAGGAGCATCTCTTTCCTTGGCCTTCCCGCCATAGAATGAATTAGGTTGCCTGTCAAGAAATAATTGTGTTGAGTATACATAGGGATCCACCCAGGTAGGCAGATCCTAATCTTATGACTATGAAAAGAAAGCATCTCTGGATCCCAAGCACATTATTATTCCTTCTAAAATGAACAGTTCAGAAAACATTAATACAGTTATTCTAGGAGTTGAAATGCCTCCCTGTCCTGGAATGAGAATTCATTTCATTTCACGGAGGGCTGGTAAACTACTGAATATTATCAATATTTAATTGACAGTGCACCAATGAACTGTACCGGACAAATGGTGCCATGAACTTTAGGGTACTTAAGTATGTAATGCTGACCACTGCCTCCTGGGAACCCTCCCCCCACTTCCCGAGCATTTCTTATCACATCTTTGCCCAGGTGGTTCCACCTGTACCTTGGTCCCTTCTTGGTCTCTGGTCTTGTTACAGAGTGATGGAATTCCTCCGGGCTTACTCCCTGGCCCTCTTTGCTTCTCACTCTATACTCTCTCCCCAGCTCAGCTCACCCATACCTGCAGTTTCAATTATAGCTGACACATAAATATATACCAGCCAAGACTCTCGTCTGAGCTCCAGACAGTTATACCCAGTGGCCCCCTTGATATCCCCCTCTGGCAGTCTCAAAGCCACCTCAAGTTGTGTCCAAAAGGCAAACTAGGACTTTTAACCCCCAAGACTTGGTCCTTGTTCTCAGACATGGAACCATATACCATCCACTTGCACAAACCAGGAGCTTGAGAGTCATCCTTAGCATCTTCTTCTCCCTCTTACTCCCATCCAATCCTTCTTTATGCAATAATGTTTCCAAAACACCCTGAGCCAGGCCCTGTCACTGCTGGTGAGGATACAGCAATGAATAAGAGACAAAACCCTTACTCTTCGTGGAACTTACATCCTAGTGGTTGGAGAGAGAATGTGAACAAAATAAGTATGGTATGTAGCATGTTGGATGGTGAAAAGTCTTGTCAATTCTACTCCTAAACAGATACTGAATTCATTTTTCTATATTACTTTATCTACAATGCCACCTGGTCTAAGATCTCTTCATTTTTTTATACCAGCTTCTAGACTATACTTCTTACTAGTGTACCCAATTCCTGTGTCCTCCCAATCCCATTTTCTAAGTTTTAGTCAAAAGGATAGTTGGATCATGATAATACAGTCAACGTTTATCCATCACTTACTATTACGAGGTACTGTTCTAAGGACTTCAGTGCATCATTTAATTGTTATAAAAGTTGTCATGGTTACTTGATTAACGTCCATCTCCTCTACTGGACTGCCACTCTCTCGTGGCTACTTTTACTCACTAACCTCTTCTTAGCATTTGGTCTCTAAACACTGTAGACTTTGAAAAACTATCTGTTTTATAATGAGTAACGTTTATCAGAGTTTCAGTTAACAAGTGGATAGCAAAGAAGGTATGTTTCTTATGGTGAATATTATCAATTTAACAACCAATCTTGACCCTTACTATAAGAGTTGGCATGTGACAAGAGGCAGCCTTTTTTTTTTAATTCAAAGCTCTCCACCAATTTTAGAGTATTTTCAAGTAAGTATTTGTCATTTGCTACTTGCATGTTAAAAACAGGAAATCATATGTTAAGCTATGCAAAGCATCAAGAGTTAAAATGCACTGGGTGGGGGTAAGTCTTAGGTGTCTTACCCATAGGGAATTCTTACTCTTTTATTGTACATGGTCAGTATAATAGAAAAGACGACTGACTGTAATGTCAACTGTGTTTTATTCACTGGCCTTGGAGTGGTAGACATTACCAGTTTTCACCAACATCTAACTTTCTTCTATTTTTGTGGACACCGAGATGAACTTCCTTTTTGTCTTATCACTAGTTCTAATATTAACCTGTCAGCAGAGGTGATGTGCGCCATTTCTGGGCCACAAATTTCTGGACCTCCATTCTCTCCTCCTCTGCTCTGGTGACCACCAATATCCCACCCAATGGACCCTCCTTTCAGCTGCATCCCTGAGCGACTGCACGAGTAATGGAGCCTGCTGCTCTGGCTTCCTCCCAGACAAAAACCTGCCGTGTCTTTGAGTACATGAAAAACAAACTTAGGTTTAAGCCACTGACATTTGGGATATGATAATAATACTGTGGCAAAAGATGAACACATCCTAATACGTATCTTAGTGAATTCTTGGCACCTAAGCACTGCTTCATAGATTATGTTGAATGAATGGACAAATATATGCAGTCCTTATAATTACTGATAAAGATACTCTTTGGGCAATCATCTAAACTACTTGATATTTTTCCTTTTCTAGGGAGTAATTTTTTAAAAATTTCTAACACCTATAGGTTGATACAAACGTCTTGTTAAACCTCTTCTTAAGTAACTATTTTGTCAATTTCTTGATAATGATTTTATTGGAAAAGTACTCCACACAGCTACTATTACATCTTCCAGGAATTGCTTGATAAGCTGCTTTCTGAAAGTACCCAATTATTGCCTTGTGCCAATAAGAGTTCTTTTTTGAAAACAAAACCAAACAATAACCTCTTAGATATAATTTTATTTACCATTTATTTTCATAGAGAAGGGTACTAAAAACCATAGCTAGACAACTTATAGTTTTGTTAGGGAAAAACAAAAAAAGACAGGACAGCCAGCTTAGAGCAGTGATAGTAACACAGAGCTCTGGAACCAAATTGCCTAATTTTGAATTCTGACAGCCCCAGTTATTAACTGTGTGACCCTGGGCAAGTTACCTTGCTCCTCTGTGCCATCACCCCCTTATCTGTCAAATGAGGATAATTCCAGTAACCCTTTAAGGAGTGTTTATAAGACTTAATAAATGTAAAGGACATAAAACAAGTACATGGATCCCAGAAGCTCAATAGATGTGATTAACACTATTGTTAGGTGACTTGTCATAATACAGAAAAAGAGCACTGGATGAGATAGATTCTGGTCCCAACCATGTCTTGGACAGGTCACAGGATCTCTATGAGCCCCAGCTTCCTTACCTTTAAAATGGGATTAATATCCAAGTTGTAAAGTATGGAAGAAATCAAATGGGAAAAACATTTGCAAAAGTAACAGCACGACGTCTAATAAACAGCATATGCTCAATCGAAATTATGTCAACGAAAGAAAAGGGAGCATAGAAGGCAAAGAAAGAGACAAATTAAAGATCAATCCTTATGGATTGCTAGATGCAAGCACAATCGAAAGGATGGTAAGTCTGTGTGGAACAGTCTAGGTGAAGAGAGGGTCTCCTCAATTTCCAGCGTGTGGTCCCCATCAAGCAGGTCATTTCCTATCCAGAGGACCGTGATGTTTCACACACGCAGCCATACGACCTCTGTCTGTAGTCTTAGACACTTGGATGTTTCTGAGACTGGATGATCTAAATGGCCACTTGACCCATTTCAGTTTGATTCTCTCCAGAAATAATATAAATGGTTGTGAAACTTTAATTTGGAGCTTCCTGAAGAATGTCTCAGGCTTTCCTCACCTTACCATCTGATTGCCTCAGGTTCAACAGAAGGTCATTTCAAATAGGCCAAGTATCTAAAGAGCACAGGAAAAAAAAATAGCCTTCCTCAACTAAGGTAGCTAAAATAACAGTAAAATAGAGGAAAAGAAACATCTGAATTTATTTTGGGGAACTTATTTTATAAACTGTAAACTGACCTCCCCTTTTCTTAGCTACTACAGAATAATAAAAGTAGTGAATGTCCTTACTTTCAATAAAATAAAGGGAAGCTTGGAACTACTAAAGATGAAGAGAAATCGAAGGCATTTCGTAAAATGAAAATGGTGCATACCAATTAAAAAATACATTAAGAGACCCTTTACATTTAGATAATTTGGAGGTTATTGTGTTTAACTTGAAATAATGTTCAAATTGAAAATTGGGCATGCTAAAAATAATGTTGAAATAGTTTTCTCTCCAAGCCAATTATTACATTTAAGTTAAACACAGAGAACGCTCTAACAAGCATTCTGTAACAGCAAATCTGTAGAAACTAAGAGGAATGAACTCGAGAGCACATTTTATATATTTTTAAGTTGGATGGGCATTTTAACCAGCCCGTGTCAAGAATAAAAGAGAAACTAATATTTCAAAAATACGTATATCCGGTAACAAGTCACATTTATTTATGAAAAAATTAAATACTTACAATATCTTCTATTATCTCTTTGACAGCTGCCACAGCTAAAATAAATAAGAGAGGAACCAGTGTTGTGTAGCGACCTGTTGGTGAAACATCAGGTATTTGCTATTTGAGGGGGAAAAAAAAAAAGAAATCCAGTGAGAACTTTGCAAGTTTATAACACGTTTAAAAACAACCGAGTCTTAGTGCCTCTTAAAATACGCCTCCGTGATCTTACCACTGAGGCAAGCTAACAGTGAGTGAGGCATTTGCTCTGATCTAGTAAGTGGCTGGCAGAGAGTGTTGCCAGCTTCCTGACACCTAGAGAAAGGGGACTCAGTTCAATACCATATAAACCATTAAACACGATATTCTAAAAACACACCAAATCACATGGGAAGACATCCACATAGCATTACACGGTTAAAGCGGAATATAAAACATTTGCATTCCGTGATCGTCTTCTTGTACGCTAAATCAATAAACAATACTTGGAGTGGGGGCGACGGAAGACCAGAAGGATACACAGCCCGATTTTACTAGTAGTTGCTTCTGAGGAAAAATAATAGTTTTAATTTTTTTTTCTTTAGGCTTTGTTGTGTTTTCTAATTATTTTTACAATGAACGTATGATTTTTTGTTTTTTTTGAATGTATGGTTTTTAATAAAATGAAAAATTTTCCCGATTATTAACTCAAACACAAGCTTTAAAATGGAAATCCTTATATTCTAAGGTTCAGAACTGACAGTTACTGTTACCAAAATAAATTATTATTTAATTAATATTTGAAGGAAAAGTTCCATCTCCCTTTATCATCAAATTTCATCCCTCCCATATCAAATTTACAGAATGTTTAAAATAGGTTGATAAAAATGAATCAAATGTCAGTGAAATTCTGACATTGCTTGCAGCAAGAGCTGGAAATGTCCACCCAAACCAGCTTGTCTCTCTATGTTTAGATAAGCTTCAGAAGATTGGTCGTGGGCTTAACAAAAACATTTATTAACATCCAAACATTTGACTTTGAACTAAAGTTTTATGACATGACTTTACCTGAAGCAGTGCAATAAAGAGAAAAAATGAGTTAGCAGCTCTTCTGAACTGAGAGTAGAGAAATCTTGGAAGGAATGTGATTATGTTGTATTTTGCAGTGCTAGAAAACAAAACAAAAAATAGCATAAAACTTAATTACTCCATAATTAGCACCCACATTTACAAAATTGTATTATCATCATATAAAAAAATCAGATAAACACTTGCCCTCTGTTTCAAACCAGGAAAATATTGCAAATGGTCATTAACCTACATGAAAACGAGTAAAAGGAAATGTCGAATCCTGAGTTCAATTTTCTGCACAATATCTTTTGTTCTCTTTGGCCAATCATCCCTTTTTTTTAATTTTTATTTTTTAACATACTAAGAGTAGCCTACAAAGAAGCAACTTAAATTAGGAGAGTGTATAATACATTAGTAAAAAAAAAATCTTACAAAACAATCAAATTTGAGTAAGACCAGTAACTTTCAATAGAGACGTCTTCACTGGATAATTTCAGAAAAATGTGAAGTGTTCTAGGGTTCTGTTTAAATTTTCTTCATGGTCCCTCTAGGAACGGGGCTAGGACTCCACACTGAACACACCCGTGATATCCACAATCAGTCAGAAATCAACACTTAGGCCTCGAAAACATCCAACCTTCCTCTTGTTATTTAAATAGAAAGGAGATTATATGAGTTGATCACTGTGATGCTGGATGATGGGTACAAGGCGGGTCGTTGTGCCATTTACTCTTACGTTTAGTATTTTCCACAATAAGAAGCTTCAAAAAATTTAAAAAATAGGAGTTTATAGGATCACATACCACAATCCCCAAACTGAGAAAGCTACTCTAGAATTTGAAATTGCAAATATAAATTTTAAACGGGCACGTCTCAAATCCAGGAACTCCCCCGCAGGAGGAACCCTGGGCTAGTGTCAGGGGGGACGGGGCGTTCACGCTCGCTCCAGTCCAGGGGCCACTTCACCAACAGGGCTTACGGCAGGGAGGCTCCTGGAAACAGTGGAGTAATTCTCACCGCCCTCCATCCCTCGACACCATACTCGATCTTACGACTTTCAAAAGCCAATGTTTAAAGACTATTTAACAAAAAGAGGAGTTCTTGGTGAAGAACTGCGAAGACCTCTTCTAAAATGTCAAACCTTGTTGGCCAAAACCACTAATTCATCACTCTGTTAACAGGTGTGAGACAAAGGCATTTATCCATGAGCAGCTTTCACTATTCAGACACTATAGATGGAGAGGGAGAGAGAGAGAGTTGGGAGAGTAGTATCCTTTCTGCTCCTCCCAGCTTCCAGATTCTTACGAACATTTCATCATTGGATAGAAAATGGAGAAAACAGCAGATTCAAATTGCCCCCAGGAAGCTCTCCAATGTTAACAGACTTCACTGAAAGCTCTCCGTAATCATTTTTGTCCTGGCCGGAGAGGTGAGATGGGCCATGGGGTGCTGCTGTGATGCTGCTCCCACGGGGTCGGGGTCTCCCCCAGTCCCTCCCTACCTGATGTGATTTTTTTTAAATAATAAATTTATTTTTTATTGGTGTTCAATTTGCCAACATACAGAATAACACCCAGTGCTCATCCCGTCAAGTGCCCCCCTCAGTGCCCGTCACCCATTCACCCCCACCCCCCGCCCTCCTCCCCTTCCACCACCCCTAGTTCATTTCCCAGAGTTAGGAGTCTTTATGTTCTGTCTCCCTTTCTGATATTTCCCACACATTTCTTCTCCCTTCCCTTATATTCCCCTTCACTATTATTCATATTCCCCAAATGGATGAGAACATACACTGTTTGTCCTTCTCCGATTGACTTACTTCACTCAGCATAATACCCTCCAGGTCCATCCACGTCGAAGCAAATGGGGGGTATTTGTCGTTTCTAACGGCTGAGCAATATTCCATTGTGTACATAGACCACATCTTAATCATCATCTTTCGATGGACACCGAGGCTCCTTCCACAGTTTGGCTATTGTGGACATTGCTGCTAGAAACATCGGGGTGCAGGTGTCCCGGCATTTCGTTGCATTTACCCCAAAGATACAGATTCAATGAAACGCCTACCTGACGTGATTATTGCAGAATTTTGTCAGCTGGGGCTGGTTGATGAGTATCATCCGTACTTCCTCCTGGTCGGCCAGCGAGGTCTTCTCAGAGACATCATCAGTCTTCTCATAACCTGAAAGACAGACAGTCTCCTTATTCAATAAGAAACCGCTACAAAAGGGATCCCTGGGTGGCGCAGCGGTTTGGCGCTTGCCTTTGGCCCAGGGCGCGATCCTGGAGACCCGGGATCGAATCCCACGTCAGGCTCCCGATGCATGGAGCCTGCTTCTCCCTCTGCCTGTGTCTCTGCCTCTCTCTCTCTCTCTGTGACTATCATAAATAAATAAATAAATAAATAAATAAATAAATAAATAAATAAATAAATAAATAAATTTAAAAAAAAAAAAAAAAAAAAAGAAACCGCTACAAAAACACACTTTGCAACTACCTGGGATTCTAAAATACGTTAAAAGCTATATGCTTCCCCCCCGCACCCCGCCTGCCCCGATTGGTGGTGTTTCTTTTATAACAACAACAACAAAAAAAGGAAAACCCCCACATCTGATATTTCTACTAAATCTGAAAGGCAGCATTTAATAGTCATGTAGAACCAACCATTTCACAAACAGTAACATCCTTCCTTTTGCAATGTTTCTCATCGTTCGCCCATAAATGTTTGACCAACTTCCCTCCATTCTGCGAGGCTATATCCGAAAGCAACAAACAATTGTGAACCAGGTGCCACTGCAGTTCCTGCAATGGAAGAGGAGGTTGCATTGCAGCCCCTTGCGTGGCGGAGGGGGTTGATAAGACAGGGGTAATTTAAAATATATTTTTAAAACTTAAGTTTACACATGTAACGCCTCTCTAGTGTTTGGCTTTGTTTTCCTTCTCGCGCGAAGACCGAAAAAGGTTTACATAGGCCACCGCCACGCTGCGCTGTGACCACAGTCCACGAAGATCCTCTTAATCTTTCTGCTAATTACGATTTATGTTTACAATGAATTTTAAATTTCCTGAGGCCATCTCAAGATCATTCTAACAGCAGCAGATTCCGGCAACTTCCATGGGGTAACCTCTTGTCGCCATGCGGATAACACTTTTTAAAAATACGAGTTCCAGAAGAACGGGGGAAAAAGACAAAAAAAGAAACAGTGAACTGCTTATTTTACTGTCCAGTGAGAATTAAGTGAGACCAGATTAAACCCGTCCCTAGCCCTTTCCTTGAAGGGCCACCAACAGGACCCCTATGAGATGCTCACTTTTCTTCTTATCAAGCCAAGCCAACACCTCCCCCAGGGCTGCACACCCCTGAGGGCTCCTCTGGAACGCCCTGGGGGGCTCAGTCGGGGTCCCCGGGGGCCCCACAGCCCTCTGCACCTCCTCTCCTCCCCAGCAAATGCTTGGCCCAGGTGCTGCAGAGTGGGGCTCCCGAGGCCACGGGTGGCCACCCATCCCCACCTTCCCAATACCTGCACCAAGGAGCAGCAGGGACCCAGGAAACGTTTACTGAGTAAAGATCAAGTGACAAAGGAGTGGCTATTCAGTCGGGGGTTTTTTCTTTTCCCAAGGGCAAGTAAATTCCTCCCCACCCAACGATAAGGACACTAGTGACAGCCAAGGGCTGGTCACCACCTGGGGAGTTTCGCCTCCTGAAACCAGTTAGTCCCTTAGGCCTAGAGGTGGGGACAGTGCAGCCCTGTCCTGGGCAGGTGGGGGCAGGCCCCGTAAGGTGGAGGGCGGGGAGAGGGGTGCTGTGCTGAGCAGCCCGGCCGGACCTAGGGAGACCTCTCGGGCGTGTGCAGAGGTCTGGGACGGCCCTTGGCTTGGTGGCGTCACTCTGGAGCCCTGGCCTATCCGCTCTGCAGTTACAGACCCACTGGCAGCGATGCCTGTGGTCACAGGGTTAATGGTTAATGATTATCTTTTACTCTTACAAACTTCCCTCTCCCCTAGTTTTACATCATCAGAATTCTATGTATGGACTGTCACAGACTGGACGTTCGTGGCTTCCCCAAATTCATACATAAATGTGTAGTCCCCAAGCTGGGGGTGTTCGGAGGTGGGGTATTTGGGGGCTGATTAGGTCATGAAGGTGGGACCCTCATAAATGGGATTAGTGTCCTTATTACAGAAGAGACCTTAGAGGTCCCCTGTCCCTTCCACCAGGTGAGGACACAGTGAGATGGACGTGGGCCCTCAGGGGACAGTGGGTCTGCTGGTGCCTTGCTCTTGGACTTCCCAGGTTCCAGAGCTGTGAGGGATGCATCCCTGTTGTTTGTGGCCCACCCAGTCTACAGAACTCTGCGACAGCTGCCCCAATGGACTAAGACATGGGACACCACATAGAGGGATATAAATTTCTTTTTTTTTGATTTCTTAAAAATCTTTTTTTTAATTTCATTTATTTATTAATGAGAGATACAGAGCGATAGAGGCAGAGACACAGGCAGAGGGAGAGGCAGGCTCCATGCAGGGAGCCCGACGTGGGACTCGATCCCGGGACCCCAGGACCCCGGGACCCCGGGGTCACGCCCTGGGCCAAAGGCGGCGCTAAACTGCTGAGCCACCCAGGCTGCCCGTAATTTCTTAAAAATCTTTTATGAGATTTTCCTTAATGACAGCACAAAATTCATCATGTACTGTTTCTGGCATCTCGACTGGACAGAGATCCTTAGGAAAAAACCAGTTCTCTGCTCTGAGCTGATGCCCGTCACATTGTATTTAGTTGATGTGGCTGAACTTTTGAGGGCCTGGCCCTTGGTTCTTAGCTGAAGAGTCACACTGGGGTCTCCAATGTTGCCAGGTGGCACCCGACATCACACCTCCCCCTCACATCCTAACGTGTATTCAAGAATATCTACATAAAATCTTTAGAAAAAAAAAAAGGGGGAGGATTTCCTGGGTGGCTCAGTGGTTTGGCCCCTGCCTTCGGCCCGGGGTGTGATCCTCGGATCCCGGGATCGAGTCCCGCATCGGGCTCCCTGCAGGGAGCCTGCCTCTCCCTCTGCCTGTGTCTCTGCCTCTCTCTCTCTCTGTTTCTCGTGAATAAATGAATAAAATCTTAAAAAAAAAAAAAAGAATATCTATGAAGCAAAGGAATCTCCTGGGACAAAGGGATTGGAATCGCCCCCCCCCCCCGGCCTTAAATGGGAGAGTCATTAAAACAATCCTAATACCCAGGTCTGAACATAAAGAACCTTAAAAGAAAAAAATAATTTGCCAAAATTAGGGGGAAAGTCTAGACTGGTGACCCGGTCTTGTCCAGTAGGGGAGCTGGACGGCGCTGAGCATGGGACAGTGCAGATGCCACAGGCCTGGGGCGTTCGGGTACTAGAGACCAGCGCGTTGGCAAGCTGGCGCATGTGCAGCTGCGTACACGGAGCTGAACCCCTGGGGCTCAGGCGGCGGGATGCCGGGGCCGGGTGGGACACTGGACGGGGCGGGGTGGGGGGGGGAGTCTGTGCTGCAGGTGGGGAGCCAGGCGCCCAGCCGGGGGGAGCTGGTGGTCAGCCCTGCCGGCCCCTCCCCGGCAGTGACAAAGGGACCCTGCAGGCCCCTGAGCCCCCTTCCAGGCCGTTGAAGGCTGGAGGGTGTAGGTTGCACCCTGTGTGTGCCCCCAAATCCCCGGCAGCAGCGAGCTGGCAGGCACAGCCGTCGCAGGTGCACCTGGGCCGACGCAGCTCAGTCACAGGCCGGCAGGGATCATCCCCGAAGGCGTCCGGGAAGAAGCCTGGCATCCTTAGTGGCCGCGGGGGTGGCACCGCAGTCCCAAGTCCCTGAACGTGTGGGGCGTCAGCCCACGGGGGATGCAGGAGCCTGGGAGCTCTGGGCCGCGCCGGCCAGAGGCCCCAAGCCGCAGGAGCGCAGACCTTCGAGGCTGCCGGGAGGACACCTTGCCAGTGGCCACGCGACCGCAGGTCAGTTTGACACGATTCTCTTCCCTCGCAGAGAAGGGGGCCACCAGGGCTCGACCCCGACCGCCCTCCCTCCCAAGCCGTCTCCAGGGTGACGCCAGGATCTGATCCGCCAACAGGGCCTCGCCGTCAACCCCGCAGGCCCGGAGCAGGACGGTGCTCCCCGTGGCTTGGGCTTCCAGAGGAGGCAGAAAGCCAGCCCGTCTCCCGCTGCCCCCCAAGTTCTGGCGGGGCACCCCAAGGTGGCCCCGGGTGGCGACCTGCGGCGCCCTGACAGACACCCCCGGCCCACCCCTTCATTCTGGGTTCTCGGGGAGAACCAGTCAAGCGTTCGCCCCAGCGCCCCGGCGCCCGCTCGGCCGTCTGACCCCGCGGCGGCGGCCCCGCTCGCCTCACCTGTCAGTGTGACAGGCTGGAGAGGCCGAGGACGTGGTGGCGCGGTGGCTCGGTGGCGCAGGGGACGGAGCCGCAGCCGCCCCACTCCTCTCTCCGGCGTCTGCCAAGTGGTGGATGCAGCCGGCAGCAGCCCCGTCTCCTGAAATCCACTGCTCTGCGCGGTTTTCTTGATGTGAATGAGGAGAAGACCCTTTGTCCTTTGTGCGACAGGAGAGACAGCGATGGGCAGCTTGGGATGGCAGGTGCCGCGAAGACGCCGTCCACTCCGTCACCACGCCCCACAGGGAAGCACCTGTCCCCCGAGCACCTGTCTCCCGAGCACCTGTCCCCCGAGCACCTCTGTCCCCCGAGCACCTGTACCCCGAGCACCTGTACCCCGAGCACCGCTGTCCCCCGAGCACTGCTGTCCCCCGAGCACCTGTCCCCCGAGCACCTGTACCCCGAGCACCGCTGTCCCCCGAGCACCTGTCCCCCGAGCACTGCGGTCCCCCGAGCACCGCTGTCCCCCGAGCACCTGTCCCCCGAGCACCTGTACCCTGAGCACCGCTGTCCCCCGAGCACCGCTGTCCCCCGAGCACCTGTCCCCCGAGCACCTGTCCCCTGAGCACCGCTGTCCCCCGAGCACCGCTGTCCCCCGAGCACCTGTCCCCCGAGCACTGCTGTCCCCCGAGCACCTGTCCCCCGAGCACCTGTCCCCCGAGCACCTCTGTCCCCCGAGCACCTGTCCCCTGAGCGCTGCTGTCCCCCGAGCACCTCTGTTCCCCGAGCACCTGTCCCCCGAGCACCGCTGTCCCCCGAGCACCTGTCCCCCGAGCACCTGTACCCCGAGCACCGCTGTCCTCCGAGCACTGCTGTCCCCCGAGCACCTCTGTTCCCCGAGCACCTGTCCCCCGAGCACCTGTCCCCCGAGCACCTGTCCCCTGAGCACCTGTCCCCCGAGCACCTGTCCCCCGAGCACCGCTGTCCCCGCTGCGCCTGACCAGGAGGCGCTCAGAGCTGCTGCTGAGCGGAGTCCGAGCCGGGCGAGGCCGGGCTCCCGCCAGGCTGAACTGTGCAGCCCCGCGTCCCCGCGGCCGAGGGCCCGATGCTGCTTCTGGACTTTGGAGGGGCCGAGGGGCCCACTGGCTCCTCCGCCCCCGACTCGGTGCGGCGTGAAGCCGCGGGGCTGGGGTGGGCCGGGCGCTCCCGCTGTCCAAGGCCTCGCCGCCCGCGCTGTGCTCGGCCCTCGCGACGCGCCAGGCGGGCGCACAGGGCCCCGGCCTTCCCGGGCAGCTCCCAACCCCCGCGGCGCCGCTGCCTGCCGGCGCCAGGAGGAGGGCAGCGGCGCAGCACTTGTGCAGAGCAAGGACCGAATCAAAGACCATCGAGATCTCCCGACTGGCGCCAGCGGCTGCGACACGGTGACGGCCGCCTCCCGTGACCTGCAGCGGCCCGGAGCTCCGCGCCTGACGAGGGAAGCGGCGACTGTCCCGTCCCCGGCACCCACCTGGCCCCGCTAGCGGCCCGCGAGCGAGCCGAGCCACCCTCCCCGTGACACGCGTGCTCACGTGCCTTAGACAAGATGCTCAGCGACTACTGACGTGAGGGCT